ACTAAATGTTACCTCATTCCATCAGGAAAGAAAGGTGCTAATATTCAACTTATTTTACACAGTATAATAACATTTGAGGTATATTTAAGCTCAACACAATTTGATGAACTCATTCTAATAAGGATCAAGTCAGTACTGGGTGCTCAAAAAAACATACATAAATCTCATTGAAGGAAAAGTAAGCTAAATAGAGGTCAGAAGTGGCTACCTCAAAACTCCTTGTAATGTCCATAAAGATGGGGTCTAAAGATTGACTGGGAAAAACAGGTTAGGACTGACTGAGGAAAATTTAATAAAAGGGTCTGGAGAGTGTCCAGGAGCTGAAATGTCTCTAGACACACAGATAGCACAAAGGTCACCAGGCTACAAAGCACATCTGCTCAAGCTGCCGGCTCCTGTGTGCAGAAAACAGGTTTTGCATTCCTTCCTTTGAGGATAGAATCTTGTGTGCTTAACTTTCCAGATCCCATAGTGCATGTCTATGAACACAAAGATCTCTATGTCCCCTGCCTTTAAGGGAAACTATATCAATGGTAGTATAAATATGAAGTCAAAATAAAAAAAAATATATAAAACTTTGAGGATAGATAGATTCATTTGATTTTTATTTTGTGCCTGTTGACAAGTTGAGTATATTTAATAAGCAATGTGTTATTTTTACATTGTTATACAATTACTAATTATACAGTTTGGTAGAAATATTTTCTTTAGTCTACCCTGATAGTATCAAAATCCATAATGCCTTGAGAGATGAGTACAAAGAAGAATAAGCTCATGTGGTAGAGGAGACAGGCAGATTATTAGTTTCCCAATTTTTCTCTAAAACCTTAGAACCACCTGGGTGGCTTAAAAAAAATCCATGATAAATGTCTGCTGATTGACCAAAGTCAGACTTGAGTTAAATGAGTACATCTTTTTCAGAAGGCTAATTGAGCATTATCTACAGTTGGGTTTTGACACTGAAGGGTGTGTCTTCATTTACTGATCAAACATTAGTTTGTATTCCAAGTGTTGAGTGTTTCATAAGTCTGATATACCTTCCAATTGTGCAGAGGGAAATAGTCCTTCTGCCTATGTTAGTGACCGGCATTCAGCTCACTTTTTTTTTTCCTTTTCTTATCTATTGAGTGTTGTGTGCAAAAATTCATGGCCTAATAGACTGAGTTGGGAAGTATTTCCATTTCTTTTTGTTTTCTACAAATGTTGGTAGGCCACTGTTCTAACAGCACACTTTTTTGTTTGTTTTGTTTTGAAGACATGATCTCCTGTGTATCTCTGGCTTTTCTGAAATTCTTTTTGTAGAGCAGGCTGTCTTCAAACTCAGAGGTTCAGGAGCCTCTGCCTATGTATAATTTTCTGGTAGGAACTCCACCTTGCCCACACTCTTCCCTTTCCAGACTTCACCCTCTAGAAAGACCTCCACAATTCTAGGCTCCTCCCCTGAAGCTTAAGACCATGCCTACAGGGCATGTAAGTCTCCTCCTCTAGACCTGAAATGTGGTTTCACTTGGCTCCTTCCCTCTGCAGGCTGGAAAGTCATCTGGGAATGTTTTGTTCATTAAAACTGGCCTAGCTTACTGCATTGGCAGAGAAACCCATTATGGGGTATAAAATATCTATCATATAATAGCACTCTTCAATGTTCGTTAAGTTTTACTAGTGAATTTATGTGGGCCTGATACTTTCTGTTTGGGAAACTAATTGATAATTTCTTCAATTTTTTGGGTAAGCATATGCCTATTCAGAATTTCTATTTCCTCTTGTAGGAGTTCAATTTAGCTATTAGAGTTTTATGAAAACTAAAAAACTTAAAAACTTGTTTATGTTTATAAGCATAAAGGAAGGAGAACAAAAAAGGCATGAAGCTAAAAATACACAAAGATTTTCTTCTTTGCGTAGTAGGAATATACTTCAACTTTTTTGACTCTTTTTCTCAATCTTTTCTATTTACTTTACTTTTTTTGTTTGTTTTGTTTTGTTTTTTAGAGACAGGGTTTCTCTGTATTGCTTTGGAGCCTGTACTTGAACTTGCTCCGTAGACCAGGCTGGCCTCGAACTCATGGAGATCTGCCTGCCTCTGCCTCCCTAGTGCTGGGATTAAAGGCGTGTGCCATCAACACCCAGCTTCCATTTTCTTTTCTGCTTCTTTTTTGTTGTATGTGTGAATGTACATGTGTGATGCATGTTAGCTCAAGGTTGACATGGGATGTCTTCCTGTATTGCTCTCTGCCTTCTATACTTAGGTAGGGTCTCTCAGTTAAACTCCTAGCTTGCTAACTGAAGTTTAACTAGCCAGCCTGCTCCCATAATCCTTTGTCTCTACCTCTCACATGGTGGGCTTAGGGGGACTGCCACCCCCCTCAGCACCCATGGGTGCTGAGGATCTGAACTTGGGTCTTCACATGTGCACACCCCTCCCCACAGGCATACATACATTATGTTTGTGTTGCATTATCAGCAAAAAACCTTAAAAAATAAAAATACCCTAACTTCATTCCACTGCTTCCCAGTTTCTATACTAATACCTATATATATATATATATCTATATGTCTATATCTATATATTATATATGATATATATCATATATATTATATATGTGATATATATATAATATATATATATTATATATATATCCTTTTTGAATTGAAATATAGGCATTGAATTTTAATTTCAGACAAGACTGCAGAAAATGTAATGGAGAACTAAACAGAACTTGAGTTCTAATTAGTCAGAAAATAGTCTTTATTTTAGTATTTAAAAATTTCTTCTGAATAGAAATAACAATTAGAGTATTTTATGAAGAATAGAACCTAGCATGAGTAGATAGCATGCTCTAGGCTGTGTTGCTCTGTCAGTCACATTCTCTGTCAATAAAACACAATTAAACAATTATTTAATTTCAAAAAGAAAAAATAACTGAAGTGAAATGTTTTTATGTGTACTCTCATGTATAACTTACAGACTTTTAATGAAAGAAAGAAAAGCTACATAAATTGAAAAATATTGATTGGTTCTTCTAGCTTTTAAAATTAGGTAATCAAGTTACAAAAGATACTTGAACTTAAAAGCACAAAAACTTTCAAAACTTACTAGACTAATATCTTTACAATGTTGCCTAACAATAGTGTAATGCCAGTACATGTTTCTAGAACGCCTCTTATGTTAGAGGTCTAAGTATCTAAAATAGGCAAAACCACAAAAAAAATTAACTTAATTTTGACATTCTACCACTCCCAGTTTAAGTTTCTGAAGAAAATTCAATTTTTTATGTGAAGGTTTGAATATGATCTGTATTGCTATAGTGATACTTGTCCTAAATTCGTCTCTCCACATCTAAAGTTTCTCCTCAGTTTTGAATTTTAATGGGATCAGGTGCACCTTAGAAATTCATTTTTTTTTCATTTGTTCACTACCCCCCATTCACTAGTGTGTTTTCATGTACACAGTATGAGAGAATGAGAGAAGTGTGCTTGGCCCTAAACAAGACATTTACTCATACACTCCGAAGATGAACAACATTGCAGATAAGCAAGAGCAAAGAATATAAGAGTTAGAAGATAAGGAGAAGAGAGATGCAACATCTTCTTTTGGACTAAACCCAGTCATTACATGAAGAACTCTCAGCAGCTATTTGTACCTACAGTGGGTCCCCAAAAGAATGGGCTTTTCAACAGCCAAGTAGAATGGAAGAAGGGACTTACCCTTTGCCTGCCCAGAGCTATATTCTACTGGTAGGTTCAAGAAATGAGGGGATCACTGCCTTCAATTGTGTGCCCATTGATGACCTCAACAGGCTCAAATGGGTATTCCCAGTCCAGTGGTCACAGAGATGACTCTTGTTAAAGTAAATGGCTCCCAAAATAGAAGTGTAAGTCATGAGTGTGAGGAAGTAAGTGGCAGGGATGAGGGGGGTTTGATAGGAAAGAGAGGGAGAATGTGGAGGTGGAGGGTAATCAGAGTGGATTATATAGAGGCATGAAGCTGTCAAACAGCAAAATTAATAAATTAATCAATAAAAAAGCTGATGATGGAAGAGAAACATGATTTAATCACATTGTGATGGAGACTTTTTTTTTTTTTTAGCTTTGAATGAGGCACTAATCTAGTAACAGCACGTAAATGATGGTGGCTCTAAGCATATGCCATTAAACATGTCAGCAATAGCTGCTTTGAGCACAGAAGCCAACTCTATCTCAGTTGTATTTAATTTGTTTTTTGCCTTTTTACTTGAAAGGGGAAGTATCAGTGGAGGGGGTTGTTGTACAATGTTACTTTATGATGTGCTACATTTGTTTATGCTGTGAAACATTTTATTTTCATGATGCAAAGATGTGTTATATTCTTTTATGTTGCATTTGTTTAACTCTGTGAAGCTCTATTACTTTGCCTGCCTAGAAGACCTGATTGGTCTAATATAGAGCTGAACGGCCAATAGCCAGGCAGGGGGAAAGGGTAGGCTGGGATGGCAGGCAGAGAGAATAGATAGGAGGAAAAATCTGGAAAGAGAAGATCGCAGATCAAGAAGGAGGAGGACATCAGGAGCCAGTCACCCAGCCACACAGCAACCACAGAGTAAGAAGTGAAGAAAGGCATACAGAAATAGAGAAAGGTAAAAGCGTAGAGGCAAAAGATAGACAGGATAATTTAAGTTAAGAAAAGTTGGCTAGAAGCAAGCTAAGCTAAGGTTGGGCACTCATGAGAAAAAACAAGCCTCCGTGTGTGATTTATTTGGGAGCTGGGTAGCAGACCTCCCCAACACAGTAAGAGTAAAAAAAAAAAAAAAAAACCAAACAATTACAGGGGGTAATCATTTGAACTAAATGGATTCATATATAATTTATATATACAAATTATATTCTTATATATCCTTTACATTCTCATAGGAACAGTCAAGTCATCTAGAAATTAAAACAGAAAGGGCCAGATATAAAAAATTATAATGAATTTATGGAAACACTACTATATAAATATGATGTATTACTTTTTCCTTTTTGCTTACCGCAGAGATTATTCCTGCAGTCCCCCTTTTTACACATGGAGCAGGGTTCTCCTTTTGTGTAAGGACTGGTGTTTATTTCATTTCCTCTGCAAAAATGGAGGGCATTCATGAGCCAATGATGGTTTTTAAATTCTTAATCTACATTTATGCAAGCTGTTTGCTACCTTTCAGTGAGTCACAAATGTCAAAAAAGAAAAAAAAAAAAACAGCAGCATCTATTGTTTGATAGAAGACTCATTTGCTATGTACTAAGAAACCATCAACACTTTCATTTTTTCCTCCCCTTCCCTTACTTTCCTTTTTCTTCCTTTCCTTTATCTTTCTCCCTCTTTTTTATCTCTCTCTTCCCCAACCCCTGCTTGCCCCTTCCTTCTTTCCAAAAGCTGAATTTTAAGAAAGTGATATTGTCCTGTAGTGATTTTCATCAGTGGTTAATCTTTCTCAATTTCTTCTTAAAAATATGATGCTGCATGATAGCAGTTGCACAATCTTTTTGCTATTTGGAGAAACTGTATTCAGCCTGAGCTTTTAGGGCAATATTTGCTATTCTTGTTTTAGCTGCTCAATGAAAGACAGAAGAAAGAACAGCAATAGATTACATTTCCATCTCCCTATGCCATAGCTTTCCTTCTTTTCATCCATTCTATGTTTTTATTCTTTGTGCTTTTATTTACAAATATTTATCTTTAAAAGTTTTGTTTGTTGAAGAATCACATTATCACCCATTTAACTATTCCTTTTATATGAATAGATATTTGGGTTAGAGTTCTAAAATTTCATTTTTAGACTTCACTGTATTTATATATTCATTTGAGTAAAAACTCATCCATAGAGCATTTAAAAAATACATTCTTTCCTCAGAAAAAGTGCTCTTAATAACATAGTCTAGGGCTGGAGAGATGGCTCAGAGGTTAAGAAGACTGGCTGCTCTTCCAGAGGTCCTGAGTTCAATTCCCAGCAACCACATGGTGGCTCACAACCATCTATAATGAGATCTGGTGCCCTCTTCTGCTGTGCAGATATACATGGAAGCAGAATGTTGTATACATAATAAATAAATAAAATCTTTAAAAAAATCTAGCTCTTTTTCTTATTTCATTGTTAATGTTCACTAGAGCCACATTTGCTAACCTTTTTGTGTCTTAGATTTAGGTAATCTTATGGCAGTTTATCTTATATTACCTTTGCCTCTGTGTTCATGTATGTGGAGACCAATGTTGGGCATCTTTCTCAATCACTCTGGAGTATGTTTTCTGAGAGAGTCTCCCACTGACCCCGTGGCTCATTGATTGGCTTGGATGACTAAGCCGGTAAGCACCAGGAATCTTCCTGACTCTGCCTATTTGGTACTGGCAGTAGCAGTGTTAAAGGTATGCCCACTGTGCCAGGCCTTTTCTATGGGTGCTAGGGACCAAACTCAAGTCCTAATGATTTCAAGACAAACATTTTCCTGGTTGAGTCATCTTCCCAGCCTCTACCATTTGAACTTAAGAAACAATTTCTATCATTTCTACTCTTATGTTGAAATAGTTCCTGAGAGGAGAGGCTTTGCATTTAGGCAACACTCTGTCGATATTCTATTTTCACTTTTAAAATTAGTTTTGCAGAGGGAGACTTCATCACAAATACTTTACGGTCTAGAATAAAATAATGTTTTGTAAACATTGGGGGTTTTTGTTATTGTTGTTCTTTTGTTTTGAGACAGGGTCTTTCTATGTAGCACTGTTTGGCCTAGAACTCATTATGTAGACAAAGCTTGCCTGTACTTCAGAGATCCAACTGCCTCTTCCTCCATAGTGCTGGAATTAAGGTGTGCTCTACCACACCCAGCTTTGTAAACATTTGTTATCAACTTAGAACTTTTTTTTTTTTTTGCAAATTGACTTACGGTGGTGCATAATTACATACAAATAGTGCAGCTGAATATCCCATGAGATTAGGACAATTTGATACTGCACATCCAACTGTGAGTGTATTGGCCCAAACTATCTAGAAGAAAAGGAATTGAGAAGTAACATATTAAAACAATCCATGTACACAATTCATTATGAGAATATGTATAATATTAATTATGCTAAAATATATATTTACTACATTTTTCCTAATATCTAACACATTAAGTTATATTTTGTTAAGGCAGCTTTCATAAGGGCAATCTAAATGGTTTTCTTTCAGATATATAATCATAAACCAAAAGGATAACTTAATAACTCAATCATAATATAATCCATTGTTAAAATTATAATTTCTTCTGGATAACTTAGGAAAAATATTTGAATTTTCTCTAAGGGCATATTACAAGAAACATCAAAATCAGAATAGGAATGAAAATAACAATTTACTTTGTTCTTAGGAAAAAGTGTGTTAAATTGATAGTGTATTTTGAAGTTTGTAGCTTTAAATACAATCCTCCCTTTGTCAAGTCACAACACAGGTATAGATCAAGAGCATGTGAAGTTTTTTTTTTCTTAAAGTCAATGAAAAGAATGGCAAATTTTAATAATTTTAAGCTGCAAGGAAAACTAATTTCAAAAGAAGCAGGCTTGTATGGAAAATGGACTATAAGAAAGAGATGAAGACGTGATGAATATTTCTAGTCCCTTGCATCAATATAGAATGGAATACCTCCTATTCTCCAAATGAAAAGACAAGGAGATATTGTATGTATTTCCCATGGAAAAGAAATAATCTAAGAAGAAAAATAGAGTCAACAGACTTTCTTTTTAAACTTTTTAGTTTCATTAAGAAAATGAAGGAAAGTATTTCACAGTTTGAGATGATAGCCAATTCTTTTCTCATGGTTGAGGTACAGCTGTAATTCATTGTTTTGCTACACATTTGAATGGATCTTTAGCTGCTTGAGATCCAGCACGGCTCAGTTACAGGCACTTTGCTTCATGCCTGTCTCAGAGTGGCAGATCATTTCTGAGCTAGTTTCTCATTTAATAAAATTAAGATTAGGCTAATTATGAAGGGGATCATGTTCATTTTGAATATCAAAAAAGTTTTTGAAACAGAACAAATGCAAGTGTATATATTTTCAATTAATATTTAGAGTCTGATTTATTAAGATCCGGACTACAGAGTTCTATTTTCTTAATGTATTTTCGTGTGGTGTGTTGTGTTTGTTCATGTGTGTGTTTAAGTTCATGGGTTTCTGCATGTATGGTAGCAAGAATATCATTCTCTATCATAGTATCTGGAAACAGTGTCTCTTATTAAAAGCCTGCTGAAGTCTGGCCAGAGAGTCCAAGGGATCCTTCTGTCTCTGCTATGCTTCTTCCCAAACCCCTGCCAGTACTGAGCTTATAGTCATAGATGGCAATGCCCAGATTTTTACATGGTTTCTCGGGATTTAAAAAAAAGTCCTTATGCTTCCACATCAAAGGGCTCTTAAATATTGATCCATCTCCCCAGTCTGCTTAGTATTATTTAAATGTGATATTTTTAGGTTTGAGAATGGTAAACATGTATTGATAGCATGTAGCTTTGAAGTGTGGCCCTATCATGAAGTGGATTAGACATAAAACTTATATACATATGTTGAATTCAACTTTAATGTGAAACAAGTGAATGACAGATGCAAGGCATTTTTTAACCAGTTTTACTTTAACAAAAAATAATTATCAATACATAGTTGTTGAACTAGCAAGAAGAATGAATCTATTCCCAGTTATTTAATAGCTTTTTTTTTTTTTTAAATCAGAGATTTGGTGAAGAAGAAATGGTCCGGGTTTCATGTTGTTATTCCACGTAAGTGATCATGCCAGTGAAGAATAATCCCACATGTCTGACATAACAGTTTTAAGATGTAAGGGATATCTGAGAATGTGTTATCTTTTCATTACAACAGGGGAAAGCACAAAGGCTTGGCCTCAGAACATTAGGTGTATGTCTCTCTTCTTTTTATCAGGATACTTGACATTGGAGCCCAGTGGAATATTCCTTTACACTGTGTGAATATATGTCATTGTGGTTGGGTTAATTAATAAGCTGACTGGCCAATGGCTGGACAGGTGGTTAGGCAGGACTGGCAGACAAAAAGAGAGCATGAAGAAGAGGAAGAGTCTCTGAAGTCTAGAAGTGATGCAAAGGAAACAGGAGACAAACTTGCCATACTGAGAAAAAGTATTGAGCCATGTAAAATGTAAGAATTAGCTAGTAACAAGCCTGAGACATTGGCTGAACATTTATAATTAATAATAAGTCTGAGTGTGGTTATTTGGGACCTGGCTGGTGGGAAAGAAAAGTCAGACTACAGACCCCAGTCGTCCAAGCAACAGAAAATCTTGTCTTTACCAACAGCATCTACTCTGGTGCCTGGGAAAGCATCTAGACATAAAAGAGCACCCTGTTGCTAAACAGCAAACAGAAGTTCATAAAACACAGAAGCTGCAAGTTCCCTGCTTCAGTGAATCAATGATAAAAACTCAACATGCTCAACATGTTGTTGATAATACCCCTAACCATTCAGGATATTCACAGGCTTCTTTAAAAGACTGTTACAGAGCAGCATATAAGTGCCAGCCACTGTGCTCCACCCTGCTGATACCAAGAGGAACTGGTTTGCCTTGACAAGCACATAAACAATCCAATAAATGGTGTAACCTAACAAAATGATTTTGGTAAAATACTAAATGTTATTTCAGTTTAGATGGATGAGTGAGTTTGATCAAACAAATTAGCTACTTCTGTTGCTTTAGCAGCCTATGTAACATGTCTAGGAGTAAGGCTTGGCCAAAATGCATTTCTCCTGCTCATTGATATGTAGAAATCAGGACGGACTTATATTTCTGTATGCAGCCACAAAAATAAGAAGAAAAAGTGTAAGAAATAATGTTTTCAGCATCATCTAGCAAAAGTTAATGAATCAATCAATGGGGATAAGAGATGACCTATGCAACTGCAGTCAGCTTATTGGCTTCCAACTCTTCAGATCATAACGAGGGAGGGGAAAACCAGAAACAGCCTGGAGAATTCACATAGTTGAGAAGGTCTGAACTGAGAGTCTAGGGAGAAAAGGTAGGCAGAGATGTTAGAGGGAACAAACTACGGTGGTCAAAATACTGTGATGATAGGAAGAGATTCTCATCTATTCACAAAAGTATTAAATGGAACAAGTGTGTGGAGAAGATACTCCAGGCTCATGATAGAATCATCCGCAAGAATTAGAGGCCAGTAGCAGAGCCTGTCTCCATGCTCCATATTGGGACACTTTGTAATTCATATGTTACTGGAACTAAAAAAAGTCTTGACTCAATAGTAAGAAATAATTAGCCTTGAAATAGTCACTACTTTCAATTTTATGGCCCATATTTTTAAAAGGAGGAACTCAAAGGAGCAAACAAATTTTTAGTAGCTTACCTTAGTGGCACTATATTAACTCAGTAATATTTATAGGTTTGCTCTAAAACCAGTACATCACGAAGTAAACTTTAATCTATTTGTCTTATAGTGACATTGATAAAAACATGATTAGAAATACAAATATCTGAGTCATAATGAAGGCAAGGATCAACCCAATTAAATGAGCACACAGCTAACAAATGCTACAACAGTAAAAACACTAAAATATTGATTACTGCTAGGTTTTACTTGCTTTAAAAGCTGAACAAGAGACTGGATATATTAGGTATTTTTACTAGAAATACTAAAACAGCTGCATATGGTGACTCATACTTTTATCAACACTTTGGAGGCAGAGGCAAATGGATTTCTGCGATTTTGAGGCCAGTCTTGTCTACATAGAGAATTCCAGTCCTGCCATGGCTACGTAGTGAGACCTTATAAAAAACAAACAAACAAATAAAAAAAAATTGAACATTTAAAAGAAACTTCTAGAAGGGATACAGGATAAGTGTTGGAGGGAAGAAAGGGATGGGAGAATATGATGTAACTATATTTTAATTTCACAAAGAAAAAGTAAGTAAACTATTTCAAATTGGTGCGACATTGGCATGTGGAAGAAATGATCATGAGTTAAAGACACAGTAATAAAATAGCTAACTGAGCCCAGAGAAAAACAATTCCATAAACAAAATAGAGGCATCAAATTGGCATGGCTCAAGCACAGGTCCAACATTGGTAGCAGGGCACCAGGAAGAGGGGAGGGAGCAGGAACTATTGTAAGAAACAGCAACCCATATGTGTTTTGATCTACAGACTTAGTAAGCTAAGCTCAAGATTCTATAGCACAAGGAATGTGAAGATGACCTGGGCGCCCTATGCAAAGCTACTCAAGACTGGAAAGACATGAACACAGTCATTGATGTGGAAAAGCCACAGGGCTGAACAAGCCATCACAGTAGATTTCTTCTTGTAAGTAATGTGGAGAAAATGGCAACAGAGTAGCATTTTTAAAGATCAGAAAAACTATACTCAGTACATGGTATATTTAAGAAAGTGGAGGGTTTTTTTATGAATGTATAAGGAAACACTTAAAAAATGTTTCTTGTAACTAAAGTGAACACAAGAACTAATTATAATAACCTGTCAGTACCTACCTGTGTATAATGGCCACAAATTTTAGAACAGGTCATATTATCAAAATTATAGTGTTCATTTTCACTATGCCAAGAAGAAATAACTTGTTTTGGTGTACTTTGTACTCCACCTAAATATATATTTTCTCCCACAAAGTCATGACCCTCAATGCATGCATATCGTTTTCTAGTACAGGGGTTATGTGCAAACTTGCATTGTTTACTCCATGATTTGGCCAGTTTTGCTAACTCCTTATCCCATTTCTGAAAAAATAGAAAAAATTAAATTGATTAGTACATATTTGTTTACAAGAAAACCATTCTAATAAATGTAACAAACCAAATTTCAGTTAATTTCAGCTCTTTAGTAAAGACATCATTTTTTAAAAAAATATTATTTTAGTTATTTATTACTACACTCAAATACCTGAAATAAACAACTTAAAGAAGAAATTACTTGGGAGTCATCATTTCAGAGGGTTCAGGACATGATGTTCAGCTGGTGCCATGTTTCTGGGCCTATTCTGAGGTATCAGGAGATTTTTCTTGGTGAACATGAAGTAATGGGTGCAGGAAGTAGCCAGGGCAAGGCCCTCCCCAACCTGGTCTTTGTAAAGACCAACAATAACCCTCTAAACTGTAACCTCTCCTGGGAACACAGAGCAGCTGTGGCACTAGTGTCAGATGCCTCAACTCAACTTTCTTTGCCTCAACTCAACTTCTCCTTGCAATAGTGGGTTTTTCTCCCATTTTTCTCCTGCTTCAACTTCTTCTTTTTTATCATGACTAACCACTTACTTTTTTGTACCTAGAGGTCTTGGTTAGTTTTTTTTTTTTCTTTTGTCAACTGATATAAGCTAGTGTTATACAAAGTGAGGAACATTAAATGACAAAATGCATTCATCAGATTGCTTGTAGCAAGTTTGTAAGACATTTTCTGGATTATTTATTGATGTAAGAGCTCCCAGGTGACTAGAGACAGTGCCACCACGGGGCAAAGGGTCCTGGGTGGTGTAAGAAAGCACACTGAGCACACCTTGGGAAGACAACCAGTGAGCAGCATTTCTTTATGTCTTGTGCTTCAGTTTCTTCCTTAAGATTCTTGCTTTGAGTCCCTACCCTGAGTCACCTCACGAAGAGTATATGGTAAAATAAATCCTTTCCTTCCCAAGTTGCTTTTGGTGACGGTGTTTATTCAAGCAATAAAAAACCAAATTAAGACACCAGGTATCACCATAACTACTTTTAACTACTCAGGGGTTTTCTTCCTGTGTGGAACTCTGTCCATCGCCGTCTTCTGGCTAGTTGGATTGACACTGATATCTCTGCCTTCATTGCTCCCTATGTTGATATCATGGCATAATGCTGACCCCACCCCTTGACAACTGGCACGATACCTAACCAGCCTTCAGGCATATACTTAGACAGTTCAAAGGGCCCTTACTACATGGGTACATTGTGTGTGCACTAAGCAGCTTCGCGGACTGCGTTAAGTGGCTTCGGGGACTCTGTATGCAGAAACAGGCGAGCTGGGGCCACTCAGAGCTGACCAGTTTCAACCTCCCCAAACTGCGGAGCCTCATTCTAAACTAATCCCTTTCCCAATAAACTCCACTTGGGTTTGTGGAGGTGTGTGGTTTGTGTTTATTCGCTCGAAGTTGCAGCAAACAATAATGCCCTATATCTGCATTACTCCTATCAACAACCCCTCCCAATAACCTCTTTTCATGGTCTCTGATGTCCCTCTTAGTCAAAGTCAGCAATGGAACTAGACTGCGTTTCAGTGGTCCTTGATGCCCTTCGAATGTCTAGAACCTTTATTTCTATAGGTCTCCCAAACAGTCATGACTTAGACACAGAATGACTGCCTGGGTCTGTGACAGAAACGTTATGCCTATTTTAATTAATTGGAGAATCATATGAGATTCAGTTAAAATACAAACAGAACAGACAATGGATTTAAATGCCCTCTCCTGTTTAAATTAGTTGTTTCGACAGCACCCCGGTCCCATTCTCACCAGGATATTCATATCAGCTGCTGAGGGTTTGACTTTGCTTCGAAATTCATTATGGGAGTCGACACACTCCTTGATAAATTTCGCGTCATCGATCGCTGGCAGCTTAGGGATATCGAGCAATGCTTTGCAAAGTCTGCTGGCTACCAAACATAGACCTAATGTCCAGCAACAATTAAGTTTCTTCATCAGGGCCATGGAAGGACATAGGGCATAGCCCTGGTGAATATACCAGAACAGGGATTACACTCTACCCAGGCCCTGCCTTCTGATTAGGCATTCTGTGTAGTGAGCTGTCTTCAGTGTTGCCATGGAGACTGATGAACAGCCAGAGTTCTTAGGCACAGGAGTTCTGAGCCACTCACTGAAAGCCTGAGGCTTCTTCTGGTTGGTTCAGAAAGCAACCAAAGTGCTTCTGAAGAGCTAATCATCTCAGTAGTGTCTGGATTGTGAAAGGGGATGTTACAGGGAACTGACAAAAGGCCAGGCACTTGGAAACAAAATATTGTGACTTTGCTGCACATACTGCAACCAGGAGACAGAGGTAGGAACCAGCAACTTCATTTGGCTGAATGTTTTAAATCTAGTTATTTGTTGTTATTCACCAACAAACCAGAAGTTTTCTGTTACAGCTAATGATAATTTTCAGTATTCCTAGGTGACTATCTGTAATACTTAGGTTGTTTAATTTAATATTTAGGTTATTTACAGTGCCATTTCATTAAAAGTAAATACATGTTTACACTCACTGAATATTCTGTCCTAGTCAGTTAACCTCACTAGCAAAACAAATAACCAAACACTCATTTAATGAAACTAGTTACCATTTGTTCCTTTACCAGAAATTAAGTTATTAGATGAAAATAGAAACAAAACAAACAAACAATAACAACAACAGCAGCAAATCTGAGGATCCTAACAGAATTCCTATGGACATGTTTCTGATTATCTGCGCAGGAGGGCTTTCTGTGTGTACTGCTGGGGTGTCACACACATAGGAAAGCTGAATTTCTCACATCCCACACTACAATACAAATAGAGGCGTTCGTGTTATTACAGGTACACACTTGTGTATATACCTTCATGTCTCTGCCATTGTATTACCGGACTGTGGCTGACACACTCGTCCTATTGGTGGACACCTTGGTTCAGCGACATCTATCAGCTTGGCAAAGATGCTCACTCCTTGCTCTCTTCAGTCTCTCCTCATCTTCCTGTAGGCGCCACATTTCTTCATTGAATCAATTGTTAATTTAAATTATGTCCATTTCTGTAGCACCTGCCCTTCTTCCCTGATTTTTCTCTAATATCTAAAACAGAGACATTAAGCCTTCAACAAAAGTTTGTTGATTGAATAAAGAAACGAGCATGCTATTTTTGTTGTTGTATGTGTTTTAACTTTCTTGACCACAGAAATTGTTTCTCCTTTGTCTTTTGTCACCACAAAGGGCCTAATAAGCATCCCTGATCCCATCATTGATTTAAGAGGCAATGATCCTTAGGCTTACATATCTTACTTTTTCTAATCTTTGCCATATTAGCAGATTGTGGGTGTTTGGTGTGTGTTGACTAAATGAAAGTCTGAGTGAACATGGAAATAAATATTGAAAACATGAAGTTCAAATGAAAATTTTGTAGTGACTGGAGATGGCCCCGGGGGTAAGATTGCATACATATTATTCAACCATGAGGCTCTGAGTTTGAATTTCCAGCACCCATGTAAAAATTCAGGCTTATAGCATATAGCCCCAGCACTGGGGGAAGGGAGGAGACAGAGGAACCCTAATGAGTTTTGTGTTTGTTTTTGCTTTTGTGACAGTGTCTCATGTAGCGCAGACTGTTGTTCTTCAACTCACTATGTAGCTGAGAATGATCTTAGACTTTGGATCCCCCGGCCTCCATTTCCTGAGTGCTGGGACTAACCATCGAAATAGGTTTGTGAAGTGTTGGGGATCAAATCCCACCTCAGACATGCCAGGCACCCAGGCTAACCTCCACTTGTGGTAAGTTGTTTTTATATCTTCAAAATTGGGAATTTTAATTTAATAAACTTCTTTTAATAAACTTGAAACATTCTTGTTTTCAAGAAAGTTAATTTTCAAAAGATACTGAAGTTAGCAAAAAAAAAATCCATGCAAATTTAAGCCTCATAAGATTTGTAGATCTGGCATTGCATTGTCGAAGATACCACCTATTGTTATCAGAGTCGAATTTCACAAATATGTTACCTAGACTTGTCCTTTTATGGCCAGCAGATCTTTGCAACCCAACCAGAAAATAACAAAGATTTGGATTGGAAAAATTGGTGGTAGGTATGTTGTTTTCTCCTGAAATATCTGGACTCTGGACATGTGGTAGTTGCTCTGTGAAACAATGTTCAAAGGAATTCCATGAAATTAATGATCCATCAATGGACATGATCCTTGCCGGGTTTTAGCGCTCTCCTGATGCTGGAGGAGCTTGCTGTGAGTGAGTCCCTTCCCATGTCCCTAATCCAGTCCAGGGTTTAGGACAGAGCTGGTGTCTCAGGTCTGGGAGCCTACAACCTAAAGAAGAAACTCTTTAAACATCGGGGTGAGATTGCCAGCTGGGTGGAAGGATGGGAGGCACAGCTTGGGGCCAGAGGTGGCCAGGAAGGAGCTAAGGACTTGGCGTTGAAGCCCCTTTTATTACTGGGGAATTTGGAGAGGACAAATAGGAAGCCTAATGAACAGCTCCTGGTTGCCTAGCAACCCGAGAAGCTGGTCTAAACTGTTGTGTTTGCTGGGAACTGCCCCGTAGGCCTGCCTGTGGGAAGCTCCCTGAAGGAAGTTCTTGGTGGAATCTCCCTGGATTATACCACTTCCAATCCTTCTATTCCGGGGTTTCACCTAACATTGTTAGGTCAAGTGAACTTGGCTTGCTCTGTGTCCTGAGCCTGCCTTTGAGTCCTGCATGAAGGGGATGTGAATTCCTTTTGGGCCACTCCAGGTACTGGGAAGTAAGATTTTAATTGAACTGGGAACAACTTTTTGTTCAATTTCAGATCTGGGTTGGTTGTCACTAAAGATTCAAGGTGGACTTGGCCCGTGTCCCTCATGAAACTTAAGTACTGAACTCCTTTTTTATGAACCAGATTAAATTCCCTTTTTCTCTTCCATTCACTTATGTTCTGACTTTTAAAAATTTGCATAAACAAACCAAAAGTCACTGATACTTTTACTGGGAGAGAAACAATAGTAACTGGAGGTAGAAATGGTCAATGTTAAGAAACAAGCAAGGGTGAAGCTATGACTAGTGGTTAAGAGCACCAAAGGTTAGTCAGCAATAGAACCTAAGGCTAGCAGCAGCATCTCACACTCACAGTGGTGTGAGTGGGCCAGGAGCCTTGCCAGCCCTCACTTGCTTTTGTAAGTTCTTTATTTCAGCCCAAGTGCAGGCATTGGCATGCAATCCAAAGCTCAGCTTTCAGCCATTTACATAAAATATCTATTCTTGAATCGACAACCTTAGGTTTTAGGCTTTAGTCCACACAGCAGATAGCTTCCTGAGGCCTTTGTTTTCTGGACCAGCAAGAGTGGGATTTTGGAAAGAGATCTAGAGCCTGGGTGTGAATTAAGGCTCTGTAGTAAGTGGCATGAGGTTAAAACCAAGTGACATTCATTTTTCTGTGTCTCAGCTTGTTCAGTGTAAAAGTCAGATTCTTGGGAGATTTTAGGTTTAGAAAATCCAAATCTAGATTTTCTAATTGGGATACTGGTAGGCACATGCTAACCCCTATAGCAACATTTCCCTTCCAGCAGTCATATTTTCATCTGAATGAATCACTTCAAAAATGAATCAATTTTATGCTGTCTCATTCTGAGTACTCAGACCTCCTAATTGACTGAATTCTCTCATTTCCTAGGCTTTCTACTGAGTCCTGAGATAGAAAGCAAGCAGCCTCAGTAGTCATCACTTTCATAAGCTTGCAGATTTATTGGAGTCCTTGGTGCTATTCAGTACTACAAGCACCTTACCCCATTGTTTCCAGAAAGACTTGTATGTTGGCACTGTGATTGTCATAGATGTAGAGAATTGAATCCAACATGGTTATATCCCAAGTGTATATTGTCATTAGAATGAATTACTATGTTTATTGAATAAATAAATATTTATTAAGAAAGTATGTTATACGAAGGTCATGCCAGCCTTTGTGGTTGTGATCTTACATAGGATTTCAGAGTGTTAATGACACCAGAGAAGCACACGGGACAGTAGGAGCAGGACTTTCTGGACTTTTTAATTTCCTCTTCTTATTGATGACAACCAAGTCTAGTGATTTGAAATGTCACAGTTATTTGCAATGGCAACAATACTTACTAAGGTATGAAGTTGGGAGGCTAGTAATGTGTCAGAGAAAGTCTCACATTGGCTGCTTAGCATCTGCATTTTAACTCTGGCTTGCATATTAGTTACTGTTCTATTCTGTGAAGATACACCATGACCTGGGCAAGGAATAAAAGAAAACAGTTAACTGGGGCTTGCTTGCAGTTTCAGAAGGTGAATTCATAACCATCTTGGCAGGGAGCCTGGCAGCAGCCAAGCAGGCATGGCATGATCAGTAGGTGAGAGATTACATGAGGCTGGGTCTGATGTGGGCTTTAGAAACATCAAAGCACACCTCCAAAGGCAAACTTCCTCCACCAAGGCTACACCTCCTAATCCTTCATAAACATTCTATCAACTGGGGACCAAACATGTAAGCCCATGGGAACAGTTCTAATTAAGTTTACCACAGCCTGTCAGTTGGCATGGCCTGGGATGTTAGGCAGGTGCCAGAACCACTGGGCTAAAAGCCTACCCTACAAATGTGTGATATGGCCAAATCATGGACCTTAGGCTTAGAACATAAAGCATTGCTTTTTTTTTTTTTTTGAAAGGTCACTGAAAAGAGAGTCATCTGAAGTGTCAATAGGAATATTTTCAAGTTTGATGATTGGTCCTGTTTTCAGAATGTGTTTACTCTTGGTTACAAAATATTCTTGAATTTTCTATTAGAGTAGGATTCCTGGCCTAAGGTGAGTGTTTTTTTTTTTTTTTTTTTTTTTTTTTTTTTTTTTTTTTTTGAGGAGAAGGATCTCTGGGATGGGGTTGAGAAAACAAAAAAGATAGATACAAAAGAATTGGGGTTAGATTACCATGGGCATGAAATAATAGTGATAGTGGCCATCTACTAA